CCAAGTTCCGGCCGGATTGCTACAGTGAATTTTTGTGCACTTTTGTTCAATTTCCAGCTCTGCTCTGATTTTGTGTCAACTTCAACTGAACTTTTCTTGATGATAAAAGCTGATTTAGCTCTTGACCAAAACATAAAACTTGTAGTCCTTTGAGTTAGCTTTCCAATGCATCAAGAATCACCTCATTTGGATCTGTGTAGACTGAGAAATGACCAAAATACCCTTGACTGCTCACTGCCCTGTTTCAACTTCAACCAATAGCAATTAGCTACTGTAATTCGGCTTTTTGACCGGGAAAACCTTGAAAATGGATTCAGATGTCTTCACCAAAGTTGTAGATCTATCTCTTATCTTCAAATTGGTTTAAAAATCATCTCAATCCGATCATTGTAGCTCAAATTAAAGCCGAAATACGAAAATATATCAAAACTGTCAAAATGCACAAAATCCAAGTAAAAAGTGATAAAAATCTCATTTAATTGAACAAAAGCATTTTACACCAATTATAGCCAAAATGAATCATTTTCTTCCAATAATGTAACCAAAGTGACTAAAAATAATATAAAATATCATACAATTATTACGTAAATTAGCCACTTATCAATAATTGTATGACATTTTGGATTATTTTTAGTCACTCTGGTTATATTATTGGAAAAAATGATTCATTTTGGCTATAATTGGTGAAAAATGCTTTTAAATGGTTAAATGAGGTTTTTATCACTTTTTACTTGGATTTTGTGTATTTTGATAGTTTTGACACATTTTCGTATTTTGGCTATAACTTGAGCTACAGTGATCGGATTAAGATGATTTTTAAACCAATTTGAAGATAAGAGATAGATCTACAACTTTGGTGAGGACATCAAAATCCAGTTTGAAGGTTTTCCAGGTCAAAAAGCTGAATTACTGTAGCCAATTTCTATTGGTCGAAGCTAAAACAGGGCATTGAGCAGTCAAGGGTATTTCAATCATTTCTCAGCCTACACAGATCCAAATGAGGTGATTCTTAATGAATTGGAAAGCTAACTCAAAAGTTACAAATTTCATGTTTTGGTCAAGAGCTAAATCAGTTTTTATCATCAAGAAAAGTTCAGTTGAAGTTGACGCCAAATCGGAGCAGAGCTGGAAATTGAACAAAAGTGCACCAAAATGTCACTGTAGCAATCCGGCCGGAACTTGGCCGGATTTATGGCCGTATTTATGGCCGGATTGTGGTCAAAGAAGGCTGCTCTTTATGCGAAAAACTCAATTTCGTCTCCACTGAGTCACATGTAATGCTAGACATGTGAAAAATATTACCAGCTGTAAAAGGGAGGTGTAGGCCTGATTTTCTTGACCACCTTTGTCTTGAAATAGCCAAAACTTGCAAGATTTTAAAAAAAAATAGAGAGACATACAGGAGAAAGCTTGGAGAATGCAGAAATATAGTTCTTCCATTTTCTTAGTGTAGGATAGTTTTAGTTTTAGACAGTTTATCCTTTCTTGTGTGTTAGCTACATGAAGAGGAAGATGGAGGATGAAGAAGGCAAAGAAATGAACTCATGTGACAAGGGTTATATTCCTTCCAAACTCTTTATCTTTGCTACTTGATTCTATTGTTTGGTTAATATACAAGTCTGGATTTTATGTTATTTATGTGTCTCTAAAGTTTATGCCTTGGGTTTTGTTGAACTTCCTATGATTGTTAGTGTTTATTATTTGGCTATTTTATTGCTATGATTTGAGCAAGTTATTTAGCACTTTAACTCTTTAAATCATGATTAATCTGGTACCATTAATTGTGATTATATAAGGTGTTGTTTCTGCAATAAAAATTGAGATTTAACACTGGTTCAAGAAATGCTAAACATAGGGAGTACACTCACGAGAGTAGAGGTGCACCTATGTGGTTTTAGTGATTCATTTCATGTAATTTCACTGAAGAAATGAACTTGTAACTAATTTCATAACCATGAAAATAGGTATGAATTAGTTATGAGTATAATTGATTCACTATGAAAGTAGGAATCATATGCATAAGGAAATTGCACCATAGCTAGCCTAGATAGTAGTACTCAATTATCCAAATATAGCACTTGCATGAGCAGTTAGGAATACCACAACCTAAGGAGTTTTTTATTTGTTGTTTTCTTGTATAAGTGCAGTAGGTTTCATTTCTTATCATTCATCAATAGTCTAAATAATAGAGAAACTTTAGTAACACCGGTAATTGTTCAATCTTCCTCGTGGGATCGACCTGATATATACCCTAAACTACTAGTTGACCTGTATACTTGCAGTGAAACGGGTTTATTTCGGATTTTTTAACTTGTACGTATAGCAAAAAGCCCGTCAATAGGGTTTGTCTTTGAAGTTGAATGAAAGCTTTCACCTTTTAGTTATCTTGTTGCTTTGGTTTTTATGAGTTTTAAAATCGTAATATATGGAGTACTAATGTAATTGTTTTGGCAAGCAGTTATTGAAATGGTTGTTTGATGCCTCGCAGAACTTACTATAGCAGATTATTGATCAACCTAAATTGTCTTTATGCTTATGGAATGATCTTTTGCTGTATCTTTATGCTTATGGAATGTATCTTTTGCTGTATCTTGTTCTATAGCTGCCGTGCTGATTCAGCACGGCCGCATAATTAAAAATTCCACCGTCTGCAAAAAATTCAGTGACGCAGCAGGTGTCAGGCGCGGACGTGCTGACTGGGCACGTCCGCAGCTGACGGAACTGACTTTTGGTCTGTGCATCTGTCAGACGCGGACGTGCTGACTGTGCACGTCCGCGGCCGACACAAAATCAGTGGCAGTCTGTTGTGTCAGTCGCGGACGTGTTCAGTCAGCACGTCCGCGTCTGACACATGCTAAAAAAATAGTTTTACACGGAGATTGGTTTTTAGAGTTAGGTTTTGGGATTTTTGTGTTAGGATTTTTGCATTAATGTTTTAGAATTAGGGTTTTAGGTTTTTAGCATTAGGGTTTTTGCGTTAAGGTTTTAGAATTAGGGTTTTAGATTTTAGGGTTTTGTGCTGTGCAATATAATTGGATATAAGTTATGAATTACGTGATTTTGTATGCTTCTTTCAAGACATACGAAGTTCATTTTGCAAGTTTATAATAAAAAATGACTAATTTTAGTATTTCAAATTAAGAACAAAAGCCAACACTAATTTTAGATTTTAAATTTAATTACTTTAGTTTTGAGTTGGACTAACTCGTATATTTCATTTGGGCTTACATTCATTAAATTAGAGTCATGTAGGTAATTTCTATTTGGATCAGACGCCTCATCCAAATATCCAAATTTGTTATGTTAAAGGTTGGGTTAAACAATGTGGACCATAATATTTATTTTTATTTTTCCTTTGTTTTTCTTTTAATATGTAGCTTTAGATATTTTATATGTTTTAGGCATTGTATAATTTTCTGAAAATTATACAATGTATTCTTATGTTCACTGATTTTGATCTAAGTCCATAATTTATATTTATAATTTGTCCCCTAACTATTGCTTGGATAGTGCTAAGGTCTCAACATTTGCCAAAAATGGATAAATTTCTCATGTTTGGAGTTCTGGCCTTTCTTTATGATGTTAATGCGTATTTTTGTGAATTAATTCTGACTTTTCAGGTATAATTAGGGGTTTTAGTAAATTTATTAAGTTTAGGATTTTAATTTAACAACTTCAGAAACTAGACTGAATAATCTTTTGTTTGTAGATTTTTTAATCACTTTGGTAGTCTAATTAACCTAAATTTGAGTAGATTATGAATAAAAGGTTAGTAAAAAAAAGTGATGTTTTAAGAATTTGCATTTGGACCCTTAGATTTTTAAATATATGGTTTTACCCACAATTTTTTATTTTTAAGTTTAGCCCCCATGGATCTTTGTTGCCCTTATCAATAACATTGTCCTAAACTCTTTAATCCGTCATTCATGTTTGTAACTTTAATTTATTATTTGTTTTGCAACGTTAGTGGGTTTCTTTTTAATGACATCCGATCAAGTATTTAGGGTTACACTTTTGTATTTAGGGTTTAAGGTTTAAGTAATTAGGATTTAGGGAAAAATAAAATTAATCTAGATGAAATTTAAAGTTAAGGAAAGTAACATTCACTAGATAACTACCTAACACAGCCATTATTTACACGTGATCAATGCTTAGGGCGCATGTTGCCTTTGCTCTTCCCCTTACCCTTACCAACATTTTGCGGCGTTGTGGAAGGGCAGCAGAATCTCTTCGGTTGTCGTCTCTGACGCTCGCCAATAATGACATCAGGATGATTGGAATAATCACGAGACGACGGATCATCCCTGGAACCACTATCAGGGTCAACATCATCCGTCTCTAACGCATCGAAAGTATCGCTGCTCTTAGAATTGTTCGTGGAACGATAGGTGATAAAATCTCCTGTCGATACATGACCGGATGCATAACTCGGCTGGTCGGTAGACAGGAAGACCGATGGCTGTCCGAGACTGTAATAATCCGGAAGCTCCAACGATGAAGAAGTGCCTCCCGTTCAACTGAGAAGAGTGAATATAGGATGTAATGCCGCATGGGAAGAAAAGTCTCCTGTCATGGGGACATGCTCATACGGAGGTAATTGTGATGAAGAAGGAAATCGTGGATCAAATCCATACATGTCAGCAACTGGCGTCGGTGGTGCAGCAAATGGAGAAAATTGTTGCGACGGTGTTGCTTGTGCACCAATGGTCATCGACGCTGGCTGTGGAATAAACATGTCCCCAGATACATGATGCCGTGCAGCCATCCCCCGATCTACTTCCGGTACTGGTGAAGGTTCGAATGCGGTGAATTGCTGAACCGGAGGCGTGTGCGGATGATCAGTATCCATTCCCGTGACTTGAACGCTAGGTTCAACAACGGTCGATCCATCGTGCTGATCATGCCTCCTCTGTCTACCACGACTAGACGAAGGTCCTGTATGAGATGGAACTCGTCGACCAGGTGTCTGGAATGGGACATTTGATGTCGTAGGCCCTACAACCATACGATCAAACGGTCTGAGATACTGCATCGAACCATATGCACCATCCATGATGGTCCAGAGACGTGGATGTGCTCTTTCTCCGATATCATCAATATTGATAACATCCTGTGTCTGCTGACCAATACGCTACATAGCACCCATCTGTAACAAAAAAATGATCGCGTAGTTGTTAGGAATAATCAATATTGAGCACCTATGCTACTTCCCAATGACAGAAGTCTCAAGTAAATGCATACCAGATATTCAATTTACCCAGAGACTTCCTGAAGCATTTGGCCCATCTCCGAATTCTGGTCACTAGGGTTCGAAATATATAGAATAGTGTGCTCGTGATACCATTTGAGATAATCATTTGATGGTCTGAATGTATCAGCAAGTTGACCTGTGACCTCCGCATTTGCACGAGCATTCCAATATTGTATCCACGCACTATGAAATTGGGCCCAATTCCTTCCAGGATAGCCTGACAAATCGAGCTGATGAATCCCTTGCGGATTTGTGTTAACAGGTTCGGGGACGTTTTGCACTAGTCCAAACTGCCGCATGACCTGATCTGAACAGTGAAACTCAATGATGTGCCAAAATACGAGGGGAATTCTATCACGCCAAATGCGCTCGCCGTATCTGCAGTATCGTGGTAATGAGGCCAATATTTCCTCACTGTACGACATCCATATGAACTGGCATAACGAAAAATTAATTATTTATTTTCACAAATAATAGGGTATATTAGCAAATAGTAACTGAAGTTTTAACATGTAAAATACCTCATCCATGCGTAGCAATGCAATATGTTCACGATAGTAGCTGCTGCGCCTACCCGGCGGATCAACCCCTGTACGTTCGGCTGCCCATCTACCAACTACCGGAAATTCACCGGTCTCAGGCGCTGGATACATCTCCAGTCGAATGCTGGGAATCCGTTCCCATGCCCATATTTGGAGTAATAGATAAGGGCCGCATGTGGTAATAGTAGAAACACGGCAAGCGTGACACAAACGTGAGTATAAACACGCTAGAGTCGCTGACCCCCAACTGTACTCCCCATCGCTTCCAAATCTCGAACATAGTCTAACCAGTTTAGACTAACAACATTCCTGCATGCATCCGCGAATAGTAGACCACCCAATAAAATCAATATGTACATGCGAGCATACTGTCGTACCAGTTCATAAGGAGCATCCGGCGGTGCTAGCGTAATCAACTGTCTGTACATAGAAGACATCTTCAGGCGGCCACCTTTTAGCATCGCATCTTCCGGCCAAAAGCCTAAAATGTCGTTCACCAGATGTTTGCGCTCTTGTACAGTTCGCCTAACGTGATGCAGTGTAACGGGACGTCCGTCCACGCGTAGATCCCATAGCACTTCTACATCTTGCAAAGTTATCGTCGACTCGCCCATAACTGGAAGATGGAAAGTATGTGTCTCCTGTCTCCAGCGCTCGACGAGAGCTGTGATGAGTCCATGGTCTACAGTAAGATATCCCGTCACTCGGACACCACAAAATCCTGCTTGATCTATATAGTGCGCCACTCGTGGATCCAAATTGCGTAGGCGTTGAAAGAATTTTTTGTCACATCTTCTAACATCAAGGTCTGCACCTACGCCATTGAAAACTGCGCCGGACCTATGCTCGGGCTATAGATACAGAACATTATCGTCAATTGGTCCCTTTTGTGCGGGGGCCTTGGATCCCATATGCCAACTCTCCATTAACCTGCATGGACAAATTTCAGTAAAATATTATTCATATATTTTGGGTTCGAATTTATATGCTATGGCATTTTTCAGAGAGTTTGGTAACGTCAGGTTATAAGGCTAATTTCTCAAAAATTACGTTAAAAAAAATCTGAATTCGATATAGATATTTATATATTTTTATAAATATATTTGGAAATATATTTATGTAAATATAAATATATTTATTTACATATAATTATATAATAAAAAATAAAAAGTATATATTTACATGTATTTATGTATATTTATGTTTACATAATTTTATAAATATATTTACTTCAAAAATAAAAATTAATAAAATATCTACAGCTAATAAAATAAGCCAGGTTATAAACGTGCAAATTTAGCATTATATAGTTAACAAAGCATAGGCACATATACACGTCTTTTCAAAATCCAAACGGGAATACGAATTAAAATTAATATATAATTCATACATTTTATATAATAGAAATTACAAATCCAAAGGGAACGGACAACAACATTTGATAAATAACCACTAAATGGACAGTTAGGAGCAGTGTGCCCGGGTTGTAAGCAATTAGTACAGCGACGCGGTGCATCAGGACATTTTCGATCCATCTTGTTCCTGATTCTACTGGTCTTCAATGGTCCAGGTGCTTTTTGTTTCAAACGATCAGTTAGGAGGCTTAGTTTCAACTCTGCTACAGGCCAATATTTCGGGTCTCTTAACGGGTTGAAAGGACTCTCATATGTGGCTTGATAAGCCTCAAATGTGTACTCCCGCCCGACAAGTTACATCGGATTAAGACCTGACCTAAAACATGCTGCAATCGCATGCGAATATGGAAATCTGAGTTCTCTCCATTTTTCACATGTACACGTGCGATTTCCAATGTCAACGGTTTGAGCATGACCACCTACATGAGCTTGGCAATATGCAGTGGTTATGCAGTAAATTTCCCGCCTATGATCGAACACCTGCACCGAGTGCGCCCTGCCCTTTCGCTCATTTGCAACATATTTCTCCCATCCATACAGTGACAAGTGATACACCTAATCCCAGGCCATCTTGTGATTTTTCACAAACAAATCCACTGTTTGGTTGAAGGTGTATCGGATCAAGGCAGTGATTGGAAGGAAGCGGCTTTCTCGCAGCAAGTTATTGAAGCACTTGGCCATGTTTGTTGTTGCATGACCCCAACGATACCCTCCATCCTTACATAAGGCCCACTACTCCGGTCTAACGGATCCACCAGTTAGCCAGGCATATGCCTCGAGTGAAATACTAAAGATGACACTCATATAATCCTCGTACTTGCGAGTCTGATTTGCCTTTTCGGCACCCCACATGAGACTCTTTAACCTACAAATACAATTCCCGCATTACTTTAATAATCAGATCAAACTAGCCATATGTAGGAAAGTAAAAAATAATTCTTAGGGGTAACTACATTTGACTCGTAAAAAAATTACCTTTCATTCCTAAATTTTTGAGTGAAATTACTGCGAATGTGAACCAGGCAGAATCGATGGACCCCCAACGGTTCTTTCCACTCCTCTAGCCACCGCATGGCGTGGATGATCCCGTGGTGTCGGTCTGAAATTACGCATACGTTTTGTACGTCTCGACATACGTGAATGCGCAACAATCTCATGAACTTCGATTGTTCTCCTCATCAACGAGTGCAAATGCTAGAGGGAATATATGGTTACAGGCATCAAACCCAACCGCCACTAGCAATTTCCCCCGATATGGCCCCTTTAAGAATGTTCCGTCCACACAAATGACCGGTTTCAGGTGACGGAATGCTTGGATAGCAGGAGCAAATGCCCAAAATATATAGTCAAAAATCGTCTGCGATGCTATACTCAATGGATGATGGTCCCAAACTATAACCGTCCCAGGGTTGGACAATTGTAGTTCTTGTACGTATGTTGGGAGTTGTGAAATAGATGTCGGCCAATCACCATAAACAATGTCAATTGCCCGACGTCTGACGTACCAAGCCTTTTTGTATGTCACATCGACGTGAAACTCCTTTTTCACAGAAGTCTGAATTTCCTTCACTTTGTATACCGGACCATTGATAATGTGGGGAATAATATGTTGGGCAATTAGATCGGCACTCAACCCCGATGGTCATTGGTATTGCACACACGGACACATGTATGCCCAGGTACAAGTGACACGATCATCCACATTTTGTGAGAGGCACGGAGAGTTGCACGAAGTTGCCAATTGCATGGAGGTGTGGAGTTTCAAGCTCTACAGCGCACAAACCAAGCTGTAGGTATGCTAGCCCGAACTTTGAACTCTCTGTTCTCCTTTATGGACCACAATTTAACTGCTCGCTTTACATGCTTTTTTGCTTCGAACAGTTGGCCCAACTCCAATTCTTTCTTGCGCTCACTCCAGAACTTTAGCTTTTCGGCCTTTCGAGTATCGAGCGGGTCAAATTGCAGTATAGCGTCAACTCCTGCTTCATATTGCAAACTGGGACCTTCACTCCCGAAAAAAGGTTCGGCAAATGTCGTCTGATCCCGTGCTTGGATAGAATGAACCGGATAGACATCATCTTGGTCGTCGTCAGTACCAGAATTGTCATCATCCGGCTCTAGTTCGGAACCAATTTCGACATCAACTAAATCAATATCGGTACACGGAAGAGGGTCTAACATTGAGGAAGTCGGGATATCCGCAGCATGAGCCATAATTGTTGACTTATGCATACTTGTCCGACTACTGGTGGTTGGACGGTAAATTTCTCTGCAACGCATATTGCCTTTTCGTCGTCCTATTCGGGACAGGAGATCATCGACCGTCTCTACTTGAGTAAGCTGACTATGGTGGAGATTTGTAGGGTCGAATAAATGGTAAGGTGGTTCGGCCTGAATCCCACTTCCAATTTCAAAAGTTTGACTATCATGACCACAATAATTCGAAATCTCCTCAACTTCAACATAAATTTCAGTAGGTTGTCGACTACCAGATTTTAGGTAGTATATACCAGCCACTCCATTATCATCAACCAAAGGCATCGCACAAAAAATACCAGGTTGGGGGAAATTTCGAAATATCAAATTTATCATTTGCCTATTTCGATCTAAACCCATGATATTGTATACTCTGTCTAATAATTCATCGTATCCCACCATTTCTGTCAAGAAGAGAACTTTTTTGGGCATAGGTGGATCGTAAAAAATTGAGCCTGCAGCGTATACAATTTTTCCTCCCCAATATAGTTGCAGTACCATACAGTTATTGTGGCGACCCCACTTTTCCCTAAGGCGAACCAGAGGGTTGGCGGGCCGTCTGCCTAGCTCTCGCCAGGACTCACGCAAGCAATCTAGCCCAAATCCTTCCGAAGAACAAACTAAATCCTCAATAACTTCAAAGATAACAACATTTATAAGATAGCCAATCGACGGCTCCTAAACACCTCACACGTTGCATTCACCTCACACGTTGCATTCAAGAGGTAAAGCCATACCACACAAATACATACATACAAGCCAAATATCAGAGTTAGGGTTTACACTTTTCTAGCTTCAAGTGGCAATCCAAAATAAAAGATACAATGCTTAACTTGGAATTCATTACAAACCGCAATTTAAATTCAAGTTGTTCAATTACATTCATAGAAAATATGAGCAGCTCAAATTCTTTCAAACTTCACCACCTGTAAGGAAAACAAACGAACGTGGGGTGAACTAAAGCTCAGTGGTGCCCCAAAACATGCAATCACATAAGGCAAATAACGAGTATTTAAATTTCACACTTAAGAAAAGCAGATAACAGCACAAGGTAGGATATAGGGCGCTCAGGAGCCATTTGCCTCGCTTGATCAAAAGTTATCGTAGTTGACCCTCCGTCAACTCTCACTACTTAAGGTCCATGTAGATTCTCTTATTTTTCTTACTCCGGCCACCAGACATACCCCAGCTCCGGGCCCGCACGACAAAATAAAGGAAGCAGTATACTCGAGATATACCCTTAGGAAATTGGTCGAGGGATTCACCCATCGACGTTATGTCCAACACGTGCCAGGTCAGGATAAGAGGCCCTCCCACCCTTAAGGTGTGGTACATTCCCCTGCCTAGTGAGTTAGTACTTGAGATAGGATAAGAGGCCCTCCCACCCTCAGGTGTGGTACATTCCCCTACTCAGTGCTTAGCAAGTATTCCAAGGTTTTAGCAATTGAGATAGGATAAGAGGCCCTCCCACCCTCAGGTGTGGTACATTCCCCTACTCAATGCTTAGCAAGTGCAAGCAAGATATTTCACGAAAACATTTCACACAAGTTACCACTCGAACGGCTAGTGCGATAAAGTACACACTGCCCACTTCGATGGATCAGAAAAAAAAACATTTTCCGATTATCACATATCAAGTCAAGAAAGCACTTTAATCAAGTAGGCGTAGAACAAGCAGGGACACTCACCAAGAGTGAAGTTCAGATATCAAATTGGAAATCGAATTCCGCGTCCTCGCAATATCCTAAAAACCAAAATTTGAAACTATAAGTTCTCTATTCAATTTTTAAGCTTGTACGTATTGTGGATTATCTAGTATTTTACTAGATAACCTTCTCAAAGTAATTTCAACAATCTACTTGGGTTGAAGCTTGACAAAAGTAGTGAAAATGTTTCTTGTAGTTTTTCCTTGAGATACTTTTCCATATAAAAGGGTAACTAATATTATTTTCTTGAATAAGTCAGCAAACCACTTAATATCAAAGCTAGAAATATACTTTGAAACATTTCTTTGAAGTTACGTTTCTTGCAAAAATTGTCACTAAAGTTATTTTACCTAGAATAAAGTTTCTTGCCGAGCAAGTTTCTATATTTTTAATTAAAATTATTAAAACTCGTATCTTGGAACTTTTCCTATAGTCAACTAGCCAAGAACAATTTTTTAGAGATAAGAAATGAAGTAAAACAAAACCTAGGGTTTTAGAGCTAGAAAAGTCATTGGCTAGTTTAGTTAAAGGAAGTAAAATAAAATGTTGAGTTGACAAAGTTTAGGGCAAAATCCCTACACAAAGTTTTTGGCGTTAATAGACAATACTAAGTGTTCTTGCTCCATACTAGCACGAGGATATATTTAAATAGCTTAATTGAAACTTTCTCAAATCTAGGAATTAAACGGATTTCTTATTCCGATTCACAACGCATTATCTCGTAAATTTTGCCACTTCGAATTCACACTATAGCTCAGGTTTGCCACCACATCAAAATCACATTTCAATAGCAAGTCACTAGGGCTTCATCAATCATTAGCCCTAGTTTTCGATAGATTCATTTCTGATCAAGAATAAAATAAATGACCAAGGCTTCGTCAATCATTAGCACTTGGTTTTGGCAAGCTCATATCATATCTTAACTAAATCAAAATAAATGTAAGGCCTCCAAGCAATTCCAACAATTAAATTTCATCACCCTTTAATACCTATAAAATCATTCAAATGGCCAAGAGCTTCGTCAATCATTAGCTCTGGACATCAAGCAATCACTTTCTGCCACAATTCAAACAGAAATTCAACTCAAAACCAAGAGAAAAGTCACGACTAACTTAACTCTAGTTCCACAAATCAAACAATTGTGAAAGTTATACTGTTGTAAAATAGATTTTTAGTACTATCACATCCCAGAAGACACTTTTCAGAGATTCAAATCACAAATGGGCAAATGTTCGATCCAAGTCAAAATTCAGTTTCATGAAGAAACAGGACATTCAAGCAGGTCAGCCTGCTTTGAGGAGTCACGGTCAGCAGTACACATGGAGGAAAAATATGAAATTTCTACAGAACAAAGGTCCATGATTCTAGTTTCAAATGCCACTGACAACACCTTAATCGGATTTTCCTACACCAAGATATAAGCATTTTACGGAGACTGGTCAGTGAAATCCGAAAATCTGGAAACTCATTTTTTTCACTTGTGAAGAACTCCTTTTCTCTTTTAAAACCATAAGACTTTTATTCAAACCATCCATGCATTTAAGTATGACATTCATACCAGCACATACCAAGGCAAATAGCATCTAGTTTCAACAATTATTCAACCCAAAGGCTACGCACAAGCAATCTGAAGTCTACTTCTCTCTCTCGGTCAAGCTGTGATTGATTTATACAGCAATCAGTTTGACACAACTCTTCTCTAATAAACTCTTCAGTTTTTGTTCAAATCTTTCATGCATGTTCAGACCAATCTTTAATGCAATATATAATACAGCTTAGCATGAAAACTCAGGCCAAAATTCAAGGAGACAGCTAGAAACCTCTGCATTTCCCCTCTCGGATAAGACTGAAAAATTCCAGCAGGTTCTAATCAACCTTTACACATCCAAATTTCCAGCTTTTCACAAACCTGTTCAGCTAATATTCTCATAATACTTAGAGTAAACATTTTACATGCATTTGCTAACATTATTCTCCACTGAAAACTGGGTTAACAAGCTGCAATTCCAATTCATCCGCTCGGTCATTTCAGTTCTCTTATCTAGCCCCTAGTCAGTCACGAAACAGAATTTCCCTCGGTCAAGAATTCATTTTCTTTGCTAGAACCTAACATGCAGCTTATATATTCATTTCAGATCACATTTGAACAAAATAAATGCAAGGCCCTCATCAGCTTAATCATCCAAGTTTTAATTAGCTAAACAAGATTTCATGCTCAGATAACCACAAATAAACAAGATTAAGGCTGCATTTCCTAATCCACTCTCGGCAGAACCATATATTTCCAAAACAGATTTTTCTAATGCTTTGATTTCATCATCCGACTGCACAAACAATACATGCAAGCTCTGATACAGCTTCATCTACTAGTACTTAACTTGATTTAGCCCAGAAATTACCTCAGTTACCAGCTAAGCCTACGCACAAGAAATCTGATTTTTCTTTCTTCCTCTCGGCTCTCACGTACGGTTCTGATTCTGGTTGAAGCTGCAGCTGGGACTGATGAAATGCGACTTGGTTGGAATTGAAGATGGCCACAGCTAGGAGAGGAAAAAAAAATGCAGGAGCGGTTGTTCTCAGACGATGGTCTCTTGGTCTCTTCCCTCAGCTCGCGGACAGAACAGAAAAAAATTTGCAGCTCGCGGACAGCTCTCCTTGGTCGATGATTACAAGGTGGTGGCTCACAAGGTTTTCTCTCTCATTTATTCTCGGTCTAAGGCAGAGGAAATGGAAATGGTGATGGTTTGTGATATAAGAGTGAAGAGGAAGAGAGATGGTGCCGCGGTTTTGGAGAAGGAGGTTGAGTGTAGGAATGGTGAAAGTTTTTCATTGGCGAGTAGGGTGGTTGACCATAATGCTGTCCGGAAATTTTGATGGGTTTGCATGGTAATTTGTGAGGTAGTGGAGGGTGATTTAGTCAATTCACTTGTCCTCCTAACCTCCACGTGAGTCCTTGGTTCTAACTTACGTCCAAAAATTAACCCCAAGTGTAATTTGAACGCCTAATAATACTCTAACCTTGCAAGGCTTTAATTATTGAAATTTTCACGCCTTAAGTACGTTTAGCATGTTTGAATCGTGTTTATCTCAAGTTTTATTGGTTTTCGACTTAACGTGAGAATTCCTATTAACATTTAACATTATTACCTAATTATTTTAAACTATTAAAATCAAGTTTGACCTTAATATAAAAATTTGACATTCTTAATATTCGTTTATCCGTTTATATCAACATTTATTAACTTAATCATTATTAACGCTTAAGATTAGCTATCGGAATTCAAAGAGGTTTAATTGTTAAATCAATGAAATAATTTACCTTCGAAATATGAATTTAATGAAACAAAACTAGAAATTTAATAGTTTAGCACAATTCTTTTATTTTGCACATAAAATTTATTGGTTTTGGTCTTAACGTGAAAATTCTTATTAGTATTTAACGTTATTCACTAATTAGGATTAATTATTGGAATTCAAGAAATTTTATATAATTAATCTACTCAGGTAGCATTAATTTTTAACATAAAGAAAACTAAGTATTTTAGCATTTTATTTTAAGGCGATAAATTATTCTAACTCCAGATGTATTAATTTAGTCTAGCAAAGTCAAGAAAATTCATAACTTGGGAAAATTATATTATTTCTCACATAAAATTGTTTTTACGGACTTATTTGCAGACAAGGGAAATTAATGCTAAAATTTATTAAAGAGTTAAAAGAAATGCAAATGAAATACAAAATGATATTTATATATATATATTTTCAGGGTTCTCACAGTTATCGCTCGACATATTAAGCCTAATTTACACATAAGTAACAAGGTGTTATAAACTTTTTAATGAACATATATATTTGCATGCTTGGTTACCGTAAAATATTTAAATATAATTACTAAATATAACTGGTAATTGTTATCACAAGCAACGAGTAAATTAATTATATCTTTATTCATTTATGTATAATCTCCGCCAAAATAGTCGCTTATATACTTTTTACAATAATCTTAGTAAACTAGAATTTCACACCATCCTAAATAAATTTCATTACTTTAATTTTCAAATAACCTGATTAAACTAAATTTTAACCATAATCCTAAATATACTTCAATTTATTAATTTTTAAAATAAATACATTAACCTAACCTCATTATTCATGTCCCTAGATGCCTTTGTATTGTAAATAGAACATGATTTTTTACTTAAATTTTGTATTATTATTAAATCATTATCAAATGCATAATAGTTGTTAATTAAAGAAAGATTCATGTATTCTAATAAGCAGGAATTAATATAATGAAATATATTTATAAATTATAAATTATATAAATATTTATATAATGAAATATACAATAAATATTACAAATTGAAATATTATATAAACACCATATTTATAATATTATAATATTATAATTAATATTAATGTATTTTATATATTAAATATTATATATTTATTTATACATATTATAAATATTTTATTATTTAAAAATATTTTTATACATTTATAATACATTTATATAATATATATATACTATATAAATTATATATAATATAATATATTTATATTTATATATATATACATTTATATAAATGTACATTTATACATAATATATATTAATGTATATTTATAATATACATTTATATTTGTATTATATATAATATAATACATTTATACATTTATATTAATATACATTATATTAATTTTACATTTATACATAATATTAATACATTTATATAATTTATATTAATACATTTATACATAATATTAATATATATTTATAATTATTTTTTTTTTTTTTTTTATTTAATTTATACATTTATATATTTATACATTTATAATAAAATACACTTATGCATTGATAAATATATTTATTTTATGTATTATATATAATATAATACATTTATATATTTTTATATAAATATATAAATATATTTATTTATAAATATTTATAAATGTATTATAAATGATATCTTACAAAAGTCCTAGGTACAGGAATTCTTCATCTATATCAATCTTATCTCCTCAAATTTTTTTATTGATTCTAAAAGCTAATAATTTTAATTAATTCTTCTACTAATTCTATATGAATCATATTATATAGTAATTCTATATGAATTCTATAATTTTATATAAGTCGTAGTCGACAACACTATAGAACCATCACCACTAGTTAACTCTTTTTGCTGCACTTCAATATTATAAAATTATAAATAAATTTAATACACTTTACATTAACTATTAATTAATATAGCATAACAACAACAGATTCATGTATACAGAAAACATGTTTAATTAATATCATTTGATGACAGTATAATATAACATGTAAATACATAAATAAGCTACATGTTTAATTAACATAATATAAATAATGTAATTAATAACTAAAGTAATAATAATTTAAAATACTAACCTGTACGAAAAGAATTGTAATTTGAAAAAATTTCACCTTTATCAGCACGCAATTGATTAGCACGGCGGCCTTACGTAACACGGCAATACCAACAGCTGGTCCCTGATGTTAGCCCTCGGCTTTCACTTCAGCAGCGAATCTACTTTTCTGTAAAAATAAATATTATTATCCACCAATCAATCTCAATTTTTTAAAACTAACTAATAACATTTCATTTATAATAATATAATTAATTTATACTATGCTGCACCAATTAACCTGATAATGAAGCTGCCTGTTCACGCAATAATTTTTGCAAGCTCTAAAAAATAACCGAACACTATTTCTACTACTATCAATCTGTCAAAAAAAGTTTCGCGCAACGGATTTTCAAGTCGCCAGCATCTGTCTAACCAAGAAACCACTTGAGAGAGCAAAGATACTTTCAAGTCGCCAGCAAATCTGCCTAACCGAGAGATACTGCTTGAGAGAGCAGCTGCTTCACAGATTCCGATTGCAAGAAGAAAGAGCACCTGGTCTCTTAGAGCAAATTTGAGACTAAGAAGTGAGAGTGTGGTTCGGAGAGTGAGTGAGAAATGAGAGTGAGCAGACGGAAACTTCGTGCCAAACCATTTTATATCGAATTGAATCAAATCTAGCCGTTCATTTGAATGGCTAGCATTTTTTTTGGGAAAAATCTCACTGCGGCCGGGCTGATTGGATACACTCATCGACCAATAAATTCCTAGACTTTCAATAATTTACGTACTACTTTCAAATTTTCACATGGCCTTGTCGGCCTTTGTCAGGCGCCTGACAGTCAATGTCAGGCACCTAACGCCTTTTGACTGTCAGGCGTCTGACGCTTTTTTTTTCTCAAAAAGCCTGTTTGCAGCCGTGCCCAGTCAGCACGGTTGCAGCAGGCTTTTTGACCCAGCTGACTTTTTTCAAAAAAAAAAAATTATTATGCTGCCGTGCTGAGTCAGCACAGCCCTTATAGTTTGAGTAAAGCCCCCTGTCAGAGGTACATTTGGCGGATTGTTTTTTTTTTTAACGTATAATCTAAGAAATTAGCCGTTTTTTATGTACTATAATTATAAATAATTCAATAACTTTGATGATTTTTGTGTAAAAAAATTTGTGAAAACTGATTTTGTGAAAACTGATAGGGGGAATATCTCGAGAGAGTCCATCAAAGAATCCAATATGTAAGTCAAAAACCCAACTCTGACTCAAAAGTTTAAATCATTAGGTTTTGAACCCTTAATTATATATTAACTGCTCTTACTCTCTCTCTCTCGGACCAATGTGGGACATAATTCTTTACTCGTGAACCTAAGAAATCTCTCCCTTTATGAGTTATTCCTTACATTAAACCCAAATTTACAAATCAATTTTTGAACTCAGTTTAATACTCAACGCAAGTCCTACTTATCACCTAAAGTTACCCTTCTCCCAATCATGGACTTGCTCTTCTTTCCCCTGCCAAACCCATGGCACACTTGGTCTAACACTAGCCAAACTCTTTAGCACTTTTGGCACTTCAGCCCATTATCAAGAAGAGAATTTTCATCGGTCCAACTTAGAGAAGAATTCACTTGCCGTGAGTAGCCCAGTCTCATAACTTGAAACTCTTATATCAATTTGATAGGGAGAAATACCTCGAGAGAGTTCACCAAAGAACCAACATGTAAGTCAGGAACCCAACTCTAATCCAAAAGTTTAAACCATTAAATTTTGGACCCTTACTTACATATTAACTTTTCTTTCTCTATCTCTCGGACCAATGTGAGACATAATCCTTTACTTATGAATCTAACAATAAGTTCAAACTGGTCTTGATGAAGAGCAGTTAATGCATGCTTCTTTGATGATTTTGGGTTACTGTTGCAGCTAAATGGGATTCTAATTGTTCCTTCATAAGACTGATGATTGGCAAGAGCTAATGAGGATTATCTGTTATTGTAACCCTCTGTTCCTTAACAAATTTTCTGTCTTTTGTCATAGTATAATCTATATATCAGTTTTTTGGATAAATATTTTCAGATGAATCTTAGTAACACTAGCTTAATTGAGGAAGTACACAAATACAATGCTCAATTTTTATTGGGGATACCAGATTGTAATATTTGTGTAGAAGTTCTTTACAATGATGCAAAGATGCATTGGATTGTTTTTTTTTTTATTTGTACTCCTAATTTTATCGAGAAAATTTCTTGAATGTGAGAATCTTCCTTATTCTCTTTAGTCGCATTTCAGCTTAGAATGGTAACAATTGTAAACATAGCTGCAACAAAATATGATGAATCAATGATGGGTAACGTTTTTTATGAAAATTGTGAGTTTTGATTTGCTCAAGATAAAGGAACTTGATTGTAAATTTGGTTTCACAGTAATAAGATCCAAAATTTAGATCTCTTAAAGTAGCAGTTGAAAATATTTATATTCCCATGAAAAGTTTTTATAATGTAGATTGGTCATCTTGTTTATTCTTAGTGGTATTATTGATAAACTCATATAATTTGTTGTGTAAATAGGAGAACCAATCTATTTCTGTTATAACAATGAAAAGGTTTGTCTTTTAAAATATTAAATTCTACAAAAATAAGAAAAAGCATAAAAAATGCTCTACAACAATAAGAATTGAGACAAATTTAATAGCAGTGAAGTTTTTGGAATATTAGGCACAAATAATTGCGAAATAAGTTTGTCTAACGAATGCACTCCTTGATCAAGGTAGTTTTTTTTTTTTTTAAATAATGACACTAAATTGTCTCAATAATTAT